ATATATTTACCCATAGTTTTTAATGAATTCATATTGAGGGGTGGAATTGGGGTCCGGAGCTAGCAGTGCCACACAGCTGTCCACAAAGATCCTCATCGGCATGTGGTTCTCCACATTGACAGAGGCCTCAATTTTCAAGGAGCTACCAAGAGTGAAGATTGTAGATGCACTCTGACCACTCCAGTCCTCTGCAAGAGACAGACACCTCCATGTTAGGTTAGAAGTTAAAACAATCTTACCTACCAAGTTAGGTCTACAGGATGGTCAGGCTAGATTACTGGAGACAGTGGAAGGGACAGCAAGGGTCCTGGAAAACCCAGCCTAGAATTTTAATTGAGGATATGCTTACACTGTGCCAACAGATACAACAGCCTTTGTTCAGATGGCCTCAGTTGGCATTTGTCTGCCAACTGGCTGGTGTATCCAACCTACATCATGTGATTAAATGTTAAACTAGTTGAGTAGCCAAGTCTTAATGAAAGCCAGGTGTATGCAAAACTACTATAAATTAACAGGCAACCATAAATTAACAGGCAACCATTTAAGCCACCAGAATGTCACCTTCATGCATTTATCTCCCAGACAAATGTGCCGTTGTTGGGGTAGGAGCTTTTCCTGGTCAAGACTAGCTTGGCTAGAATGTGCTAATGGATGTCGACATAGTCCAAGATTGTACCCTGCACAAGGTCTACATGTAAGCTGCCCCTCCAGGAGGGATCAGGATGACTGATTGAGGGATCCATAAGACAATAGCTCATACTGGATTTACAGTTTAGTGTAAAGTCTAGAGAAGGAACCAATAGAAATACTACCATTCATCAGATAGAGTGCAAAGGACAGCCTCTCCTCCATGGTTACGGTGGTGCTGTAGGGAATCCATGTTGGTTTGATTGCATTGCTGCTGACATTGCCGTGCCTAAAACAGAAGTAGACATAAAAGAGAGTTTGACCAAAATACCAATGGACCTTAAGAAACACCCATGACTCAAGTTTGGAAAGCATGCTTGTGTAAGAGCAGCCCAGCACTACCTGCAGCTCAACATATTCCCATTGCTAAGAGAAGGTGGACCTGGAGCATTTACAATGACTGCAGAAGATGCCAGATTTGTTTGGTGGCCACCACCTGCTGGTGGCACATGGCAACTCTGCATTTCACCTATTCTGACAAGTAGAAATGTACTCCATTATACAGTGATGGAACAGTTGTAACAACCAGGCATCCCATTTAAAGTGAGCCCATTAGGATAGCAATATAAAAGCTGCAGGTTCCATCAGAGACCAAGCATTGGATACGCCATGACCCTTCATGTGTTGTACAAGTTCCTCTGTAGCTCACAATATTTTAGGCAGAGAGAGACTTGGGAACTACATTTTAGAAAATTATAACAAAATTAAAGCATGCGTTGTGAATTGGCCCGACTGGGAGACTTACCGGGGGTAGTAGCACTGAACACCAATGTTGGCACTGTTGGTTCGGGTGATTGGGACGTTCCTGGATGGAGATGGCTTGTAGGCAACGCTTGTAGTATAGAGGAGGAAGTCAGTGTTCATCTGCAAGAGACAGAATCCTCATTACACCAAGGCCCAAGAGGAATCTCCTCAACACTCCCAACAATTTACAGTAGGCGCTACCTAAACATAAAAGTGGTCTATGTAGCTGGTCCTTCATCCTAGTTCCCAGGTCCACCACCCTGCTGCCGCCATGGCACTCCTGCTTCAATTTACCCCATTAGCACAAACTGAGCGATACAATCGAACTGCAAGTGTCTTTGCTCTGGAGTTCTGATATTGCAGTGACAGGGTGAGCAGCCTGGACAGAGCAAGTTCAGACAAAACCATATTTGTTACCAGATAATTGTACAACTCATTCTGAATTGAAAAACCTCACTGCATTGTAGATAAAGTCTAGAGCTCAGCACTCATTACAATTTGATTGTACAAGCTTTAGGGCTACCAAACTGTGCATGTAGTAAAAGCCTTCCCGATTGGGTATAAAGTCAGAAGTGCAGTCTTTGTGCATTGTGCGCTCCTTAGCCTATAGGTATCCGGCAGGCCCTTCCACTACAAACTTACTGGCAAATCTAAAAATCAGACTAATGGCACATCCAGCTTTAGGCTCACTACAAGCTCATTGTACAATCACCTTTGGACCTACCTAGTATGTAGTAGAAGGGCCTGCCTGGATGGTTTAGGTAAGTGGTAATCAACCTGTATAACCTCAGGGCCCACACCAAACTGGAATGCACAGCATTGTTCCAGTGCAAGCAATCAAACTGGGCAGAAGGTGTTTTTGGGGGTGCCATTCAAATGAATGGCAACGCAAGGCATCTCCCGCACCAGAACAAACAGTAGGTGCGATTGCATTGTAGTTCGCAATTAAAAACAAGACATTCTAACACGCACATACACACTCCGAGAAACATTTTAGGGGCTCAGTGTGGGCTGCTGTGCTGTGACTGAGCTCCATCCATATGTGCATTGCTTGTACAGCTCCCTTCCCTTGAACTCCCTGTAGGTGCCAGAATGTGAGGTCACTCAAGGGAGCTGTAAGCAATGCATGCATGTAGCTCCGTCACAGCCATATCCCCAACGCAAGCTGACACTTAAACGCCAGGCAGCATATTTTGAATGGCTGCACGGCATGAGAACTGATAGTGCTGCGCTATGGGGGGTAGCATCTCAGTGCAGAGGAAGGCATGCCATGACCCGCTGAACATGGGGTCACAACCCACAGGTTTAGGTAGGTCCTCATTACATAGTTTTGGTAGTACTAAAGTCAAGTGTACAGAGATTGTATGATCAGGATGTAACATGTATGGTGACCCCCAAGACTACAGGGTAACCATCCATGTTGTATCAGCTGACTGACCTGAACCACATTCCCGCAGTCCTGCAGGTTGATCTGGAAGACCACGGTGTCCTTGTCCTCAGAGGATGGCGTGCACTGAGCGGTACCCAGGGTGAGGTCAGACGCCTTGACCAGCTTCCCGGTTCTAAACAGATCCTTCAGAATGGTCACCACCATCTTGTCCTCCAGACACACAACACTGACGGTCCTCAAGGAAGGACTGGGCATCTGCCTAGACAGCTCAGGAAGTCCTCGGGCAGAACCCCATCCAGGCTGGTAGGGACCCCGCCGTAGAGATTCTGGCTGCTGGCGGTACCAGGGATACTGGCATAGGACAAGATCACAGGCCATGAGCACCCCAACAAGACCACTGAGCCACCTCCAACCCATTGTGACCAGAAGAGCAACATGAACTCTATCCAGCCCTATGAGAATTTATATCTCCTGCAGCAATTACCCCACCTGGTGCAGATGAACCCTGACCGCCCCCTCCACTGACAGCAATCTGCCCCAGCTGTCCTAATTTCCTGCAACTCTCCTCAGCAGGCACTTAAAGGGGACAGCACCAAACTGCTGCATCCTCAAGGGCCCCATTCACACCTATGCGTTGCAGTGACATATGGGGAAATGTGCATTTTCCCTGCGTTACCACAGGCAGCATTTTGTGAGGCACAATTTATTTAGAATGGCACCCGAAATGCCAGTTACAGGCAGGGCGCCACAATGCGCACACCATGGGCATTGGTGCGCTGCATTACATAAAAGGGTCATGGCTGTTTTTGTTTTTGGCCATTGAGGTGCGTTAATGATTGAATGGGCTGCCTTAAGACAACGCACAGTAATGTGTGAGATACCGCATGTTAACGCTTATGATCCATGGGAGTTTGGCTGCCAGACTCCACTATGACAGACACTTCCTGTCTATGGTAGCGGTTGAGAGTGATACTCTAGACGGCGGGTGTACCATCTCTCATATTAATGCTTATGGTAACAAGCCGTGACAGACCGCAATGGTGCAATGTAACGCACTGCAGGCCCTGTATATGTGTTTTGCGATGTGTTGCTTGTTGTTGTTAAATGCACCCCCAACGTATGTATACAGGGTGCTGCAGTACACCTGCGCTACAGCGCGATGCACGAATGCAGTTGCCAATGGGCATTGCGCTACGGTGTGTTTGAAAAAATAGAGCAGGGCCTGCTTTTGTGTACGTTTACAGCCTATTTGAAATGAAGGGGCCACGGAATGCACCGTGCTGCGACGCATGAAAGCGCAGTGTGGTAAAATGTCTGTGTCTTGTAAATAGGCCGAAAAGCTGGATTTGGGCCTTTGCACATTAACATGCCCCGTCGCAATATGCACAAGATATTACACACTTAAACAGTAAGCGACACACCCGCCTTATACTGCACTGGCAGACTGGAATGTGTTGTGCATTGTGGTGCACTACGGGGGTAGACAATGTCAACATTTTAGCTGTTGTGCAACTACAAGTCCCATGGGGCATTGCAAGACCCTGGCAGCCACAGGCATGACTCCCAGGGACAAAGGCATGAAGGGATTTGTAGTTTCACTACATCGGGAGTGCCAAGGTTGCATACGTCTCAGCACTATTTTTGGCCAGTGCTGCGTTTATAAAGGCCTGGCCAAGGTCACATTCGCTGTTAGACATTCACAGTGCCACTGCCCACATTCGCTGCATATTTTACACAATGCAAATGCAAGGCCAGAGTGATAACCATGTAGACACCATGGTGGTTTCTTTATGACTAATTATTGAAGGTATTTTGGGGCGATGGGGAGGATAATCTGGTTGCTATTGGCAACACTCCACAGAGTGAGGGGAATATATCAAAAAAGGAGCAGGCCGAATCTGGAGCAGTTGCCCATGGCAACCAACCAGCTTGTAGCTTTATTTTTCAAAGCTTATATGAACAAACTGAAAAGAGAAGCTGATTGGTTACTATGGGCTTCAGATTTAGTCGGCTCCAGTTTTAATAAATTCCTCCACGCAGACCTTAGGTCAGGTGCTGGTGGTCTTCGAGAAAATGGCTGCCGGACTCTGCTGTCGCGGACACTTCCGGTCTACGATAGAGGCTCTAGAAATACATGTAGTAAGGTACTCTGTGTGCACGTGGGGTGAGTGCAGGGCTCTGATTGGTCGGAGTTCTACACGCGCTGTCCTTGGAGCGGAGAGGCCGGCGAGATGCTGAAAGTGACGAGCCGCCTGCTGAGCCTGAGAGCCCCTATATGTGTCACCCCGAGCCGGGTGAGGGCCGGACAGACATGTCCCCTCTGCACACACACCCCAGGCATATAGTCTGTAACCCCCCCCAGCTATACACCATGTACACAGTCAGCCCCCCTTACATATACTTTGACCCCCCGCCCTTGACATATACGTATCTAGTGCACACTGCTTCCCCGACATACATGTCATGTACACACACACCCCTACTCAAGACATACACCCCCCAACATCATACCCTGTACTGTACACTGCCCACTCCGACACATACCTCCCCAAAAAGACGTATGCTGTTTACATCCCCCACTGACTAACCCCCTTATACCAGCTTGATGATGAGGCAAGGCTCCTGATGGTTTTTAGGGAGACGGCAAGAACTGTTCTGTTAGCCGCCTTTTCATACCGACCCTTCCCCTGTCCTCCCAGCGAGAGGTAATGGTACCCCTCTATTGGCACTATGCACCCCGCTCTGACCTTTCTTTAGCTCCGCCCCATGTATTGTGTGTATGATCGCCCTCACTGGCTGCTCAGACTGTATGATGGTCATCTTCTGGTAGGTGAGAGCTCCAACGTTGTATCTTACAGGGCACAGTGATTGTAGAACGCTGGTACAATGTCCCCCTGGCTAAGGAAGGGGAGGAGCCTTACCTGCACCCACGACGGCACCGGATTTACCGCGTGGTGGAGGACACCAAGCACAGCAAGAAGGGGAAGATGGCGCTCATCCTGACTCAGTCTATACACAGTAAGTGCCCCCAAAGCAGCACCAGGGTTGCGGGGTTACTGTTCATGTACCGCCTAGCTGACTCTCCTCTCCATCCCCGCAGAGCTGGGCAGTCGTGGTGACACGGTGCTGGTGGAGAAAGCGTTTGGCCGGAATAAGCTTCTGCCTCAGGGTCTTGCCGTTTACCCGTCTCCGGAGAACAAGCAGATGTTTAAAGAGGAGAAAGAGGTAGTGATCAGGGAGTCACTGCACCCCATCTTGGCCGCATGGGGATCACTGCGCCGCTTCCTGGGAGAGTTGAGTCACATTCTAAGGGAGTAGAATGCTTGAAAACATGAGGTCAAGGAGAGAGAGCGCGGGTCGCTGCGCAGCTTCCTGAGGGAGAGAGCGCGGGTCTCAGCGTGGCTTTGTGAGGGAGAGAGCGGGTCTCAGGGTGGCTTTGTGAGGGAGAGAGCGGGTCTCAGCGTGGCTTCGTGAGGGAGAGAGCGGGTCTCAGGGTGGCTTTGTGAGGGAGAGAGCGGGTCTCAGCGTGGCTTCGTGAGGGAGAGAGCGGGTCTCAGCGTGGCTTCGTGAGGGAGAGAGCGGGTCTCAGCGTGGCTTCGTGAGGGAGAGAGCGGGTCTCAGGGTGGCTTTGTGAGGGAGAGAGAGCGGGTCGCTGCGCGGCTTCCTGAGGGAGAGAGAGCGGGTCGCTGCACGGCTTCCTGAGGGAGAGAGAGCGGGTCGCTGCACGGCTTCCTGAGGGAGAGAGCGCGGGTCGCTGCAAGGCTTCCTGAGGGAGAGAGCGCGGGTCGCTGCGCAGCTTCCTGAGGGAGAGAGATCGGGTCGCTGCGCAGCTTCCTGAGGGCGAGAGAGAGCGGGTCGCTGCGCGGCTTCCTGAGGGAGCGGGTGACTGCTCAGCTTCCTGAGAGAGAGAGCGGGTGACTGCGCAGCTTCCTGAGAGAGAGAGCGGATCACTGCGCAGCTTCTCATGGGAGAGAGAGCTGGTCGCTGCGCAGCTTCCCAGGAGAGAGAGAGCGGGGTTGCCCTGCACCGCATCTTGTGAGAGAGCAGGGTGACGCTGCACCGCGTCTTGTGAGAGCGGGGGTGGCGCTGCACTGCGTCTTGTGAGAGCGGGGGTGGCGCTGCACTGCGTCTTGTGAGAGCGGGGGTGGCGCTGCACTGCGTCTTGTGAGTACGGGGGCCGCCACTCCACATCCTGTGAGGGAAGGGTCACGGCGCCATTCTGTCTCACCACTTGTATCCTTCTTTTCCTTAGAAACAAGAGACGGCGGCGCCTGCTGACCGCCAGCAGACTTGGACCGGGGAGATGGTGAGTGATCACAATTCATCTGTGTTTAGAGGGGAGTGAAAGTTAGAGATTCTAAGGGAACGGGGCTTCCGGGTACGAGGGATCATGTGACCTGTATGTAAAAGTAACCAAGAGGGTGACACCACTTTCAAACACAATGGTGTCACCTCCCGGTCTACTGATTGGACAATGAAGGAGCAACGAGAGCTAAGACGAGATTTAAAACTAAAAAGAGGACCTGTCACCAAGCTTTCTATTGTAACACCAATCGTCCAATAAGATGATATGAGCATTACCAGTAACAGCTCCTCTTACAGTATGTCCACTCTTACATTGGTGGTCAGTGGGGAGCCCCAGTATGTCCACTCTTACATTGGTGGTCAGTGGGTGAGCCCCAGTATGTCCACTCTTACATTGGTGGTCAGTGGGGAGCCCCAGTATGTCCACTCTTACATTGGTGGTCAGTGGGGAGCCCCAGTAACATCCCCTCTCACATTGGTGGTCAGTGGGGAGCCCCAGTAATATCCCCTCTTACACTGGTGGTCAATGGGGGGCCCCAGTAACAGCCCCTCTTACATTAGTGGGGAGCCCCAGTAACATCCCCTCTTACACTGGTGGTCAATGGGGGGCCCCAGTAACAGCCCCTCTTACATTAGCGGGGAGCCCCAGTAACATCCCCTCTTACACTGGTGGTCAGTGGGGAACACCCCCGCTCCCCTTTCTGTCATCCTGGAAACAATGTAACAATGGATTCCTCGCTGGTGTGAACCCTCCGGGGGGATCTCTTCTTTCTCCGCAGACTGTACAGTTCCTGAGAAATTCCCGCCTGGAGGTCAGGATGAGACCGGAGTCAGGATGGACGCTGAGCAGAGAGATGGTGGCTCGTCATTTCTTCAGAAACGTAAGTTGCTGACGTCCTTGTCCCTTTTACACTGGATCTGTGGCAGCGTCGGAATATGGGATCGGCCTCCAATCCGCCCGGCCCAACCTGTAAATGGCGGAGTTATTTTACATCTTGATGGGACAGCAATGGGTGACACCTGACTGTTGTCAGAACTGCCGTGTTGTCCTGTATGATTGACATGGAGTAGGCAATGATGCACCCCTAAGGCCTCCCCCCAGACTCCATGTTACTACCCACTATAGGTTAGATGCTTTTATATCTGACCTCCGTCCCTCCCTTCCGTCTTATACCTGACCTCCGTCCCTCCCTTCCGTCTTATACCTGACCTCCGTCCCTCCCTTCCGCCTTATACCTGACCTCCGTCCCTCCCTTCCGCCTTATACCTGACCTCCGTCCCTCCCTTCCGCCTTATCCCTCACCTCCGCCCCCCCC